AATTCCACCTCTGCTTCTACCACTGCACCATAGAGAGTATTTTAACTTGCTGCACCTATGTCTGGTTTGCCAATTGCACAGTGGCAGATAGGACAGCGCTCCAGAGGGTCGCCACTGCCCCCTCATGGGTTGCCCCCTCCCCTCCTTGGAAGAGCTTGATAGCTCCCGCTGCCTTAAGAAAGTTCAAAACATTCTTAAAGATCCATCTCCTCCTGGGCACCCCCCCCCTTTTTTTAACTATTACCCTCTGGCAGACAGTACAGGATAATAAAAACAAGGACAAAGAGGCTGAAAAACAGCTTCTATCCCAGGGCAGTAACCATATTGAATTCTACAGTATAGTGAAATATTAATGCAATATCAGGGTTTTTCAATTCAATTGTATAGAATGGACGTGTTTTTATTTTTATAGTTATGATGTACACTGAAGATGGCATTTAATTTTGTTGTACGAGGTGCAATGACAATAAAGCAAACTAAATTAAACTAAACGAAATCTTTGTTTTTTTAAACCCTCTGACAGATGAAAAAGATGTCCGTCCAAAGCAATTTAGACCAGTCCGAGAAAGAGAACATTCATTTGGATTTAGAATCAGAAGCGGTGAATGGCTCTGCGACAGAACCACCCAGCGTTTTGCCAAATTCTACTGCTTTCGATGAGCACCAAGAACCTGAAAAGGCCCCAGGCGTTAAACCAACGGACACCCAGGGTGCAGCCATCAGGAACCCTTTGGAAGCAACGGAGCAATTTATCCCTCCTAATCCCACGGAAACGTCCGGTAGTCCTTTAGAAAAGAGAATCGACTCAGAAGGGCGGTTTCCCAGCCTTCCAAGCACGCCTCCTTCAAACGAGGTGGCCAAGAAAGAGTCCACTGACTCCGGACTAGGGGCTGGGGACAGTCCCGACCCATACGTCATGAGCCTTCAGAACCTCTTAAAAAAATCCAGGGAGTACATTCAGAGAGAACAAACGCGTCGCAGCCTGCGAAGCAGTTCCAAGAGGAGCGGCAGCGGAAGCCACCCGGATAAAGAAAACAGCACCGTGAAAACGAACGAGTTGGCGAAAGAGAGAGGGAAATTGACAGGCAGGAACACTCCAGTTCCAACCCCGGAGAAGTCCGGCCTTCTCAAGCCCGGTGCGCCTCAACCTTCCTCAACCTCTAAAAACCAAGCCGGCGGAATGACCTCCCCCAGTTTTTCTAAAGTCGATATCCCGATGAGGTGCGGGACGCCTCCCGTGTTGGACTCGGATTCGGATGAAGAATTCAAAAACCTCTCCCTTTTCGGGAAGGACAGCATTCTCCGGAGCTTCACGGGGTCTTACTCGAAACTTCCCAGTCCGGAGTCAAGCCTGAGCCCCAGGATGCACCGGAGACGCCCCAGGCCCTCTTCCGTAGGGCACATCGTCATCACCAACCCCGTCAACGCTTACGAGTTGAGTCCCAAAGCGAAGATAATAGCTGCGGACTCGATTGTCTGGGAGGCCGTAGGGAGACCCGTGGCCTCCAATCTTGTGCCAAACCTCGCCGCCGATCTTGCCCCCGCGTGTCCCCACAAAGCTCAGGCGTTTGACAAGAGTTCTTCCGATATCTTCAATGAACTCGTCGTGGGCAAACCCAACGAGGCGTGTCCGCTTCCGGCCCATCAGCAAGAAGGTGGGAGCTTCCTGGCTCCTCCCACTGTAGAAGGAGAGTCTATGTTAGAAAACGGAGCGGCATCGAGCAGTTCCCTTGCAAATCTCAGCCCCCCGGAGCTGCAGAATGGGAGTGGTGCCTTGTTGACCCAGAACCAAGCCAAGACCGACAGCCCGCCAGACAAAGTCAAGGGCAGCGTGGTCACGGAACTCAACAAATCCTACGATGTCCAGCACCCGTCGCCCTTGCTGATGATGCATATAATGCAGAGCAAGCCGCCTTTGGATACCCCGGAAGTGAGCTTTGGAAATGAGCGGCAGCTGTTAGAAAACGGGTTGGAAAAGGTGAAACGTAGGCTTGAGCTGGAGGTGGATGCCGTGCAGAAGGAGAACACGCCGTGGGTTGCGTCTGCGGAAGCCGACCCGCCAGAGAGGCGACGGCCGCACGATCAGAGGTACCCTGGCAGAGCTGGGCTCGAGGCTAAGAACGAAACATCGTCACAATGCCTCAGAGGTAAGGAAACAGACACTGTACAGCTGGCCCTTGACTTAACAGCGATTTGTTTAGCAACTGTACAAAGTAACAGTGCCCCTGGAAACAGTGTTACCTTATGCATACTTGCCACCGTTGCAAGTATTCCTGTGATCATTCACATGGTCAAACTTCGGGCACTGGGCAACCTGCATAGATAGGTAGCCACCACCTGATGTTGTGAAAAGTGAGATTAGAGAATCCAGCCAGATTTCATGGCTAAGGCGGGACTAGAACTCACCATCTCCTGGTGATTGGCCCAAAGTCACCCAGCCAGCTTTCATGGCTAAGGCGGGAGTAGAACTCACCGTATCCTAGCGATTGGCCCAAAGTCACCCAGCCAGCTTTCATGGCTAAGGCGGGAGTAGAACTCACCGTATCCTAGCGATTGGCCCAAAGTCCCCTAGCCGGTTTTCATGCCTAAGGTGGGACTAAAATTCACAGTCTCCTGCTTTCCGGTCTGGTACCTTAACCACTAGACCAAACCGGCTCTCTTTGAATAGAATAGAATAGAATAG